TTTATTTTGTACATTACTGAGCTGAAAAATGTTAGAATTTGATACTTTCCCTCCCCTTGTACCTACACTTCTCTTTCTCTCTTTCCCACCTTCCTTATTTCCCTATCATTTTTATTTACATTTGTATTTTGTGTCATGATAACCTTAATAAAATTCTTTAAAAAACAATTCCTAATTACCATAATTGTTTGCTGACTGGAAACCATAGCCCAAAACATGTAGAATTAAATCTGCTCTGGAAGCAGAGAATGACCTAAAGTTCTTCGGAGAACTAATTTCTGGAACATAAGCTAGGAGAAGATCAGAAAACATTCTCATAAAAATGTTTCCTCCATGTCTGAGTCCATTCATCCACCCAGGAGAAAGTTTGATGATGGGAAGCCTGGGAAGAAACTATCAAAATTAGCAGTGAAACAGCACTTTTGTATCTACTCCAATATAAAGGATCCATCAGAAAGATCCCAAAATCCCAGATTCTAGAATACCACAATACCAATCATACTGGCAGGAGAACAACCTGCATACAACAAATAGAAAAGAAATCTGCTTTATAGTACCAATCTGCTTTATCATATTTTAGATGGGTACAGAGGTTCCTGATACAGTATTTCCTGTATTGAAGATACATTACAGCATCATTTATTTTTTTTTAGGTCTACCATATCTACCTTGTTTGCAGAATATCCTTGTAATTCTGCCAGTTGCCAACAACTGGTAGCATTGTCGAACCAATTACTGCCTGTAGCCCTAGGTATCAAAACCAAAATATAAATAAAATAATAAAATATAAAATAAATAAAATGGGCAGTCTCTCAATAAATTGAGCCTTAGTATTTTGGTGCCTGCAACTGGTCTCTACAATGCTCTCACAGATCACTGGCAGTCCCCAATCATAGGTCTCGTGGGTTATATGTTGGGCAATGTCTGAACATTATGTTAATTTACTAAACCATGGTGGCAAACTTGTGTAGTTCCAGCCTCTGCCTAGCTCTCTGGCAATGGAAAAGATGGCAGGAGAAGAAGAAATCTCTGTTTGTGTGTCTGACATGGAAAATTAGACATTCCACGGGCCATTTTGCATGATGCAGGTGGATTAAGAGTATCTGATGCCGCGCATTGATTGATTTTTAACAGCCCAGATAAGGTCGCCCTAACTGATGAGCCTTGACAAGTGCTATTTTTGCATGCGAGCGTATTCAATACAGTTCAATTTATTAAATTTGTTACAGCCTCCCAAATTCATTAGAATACCTAAACTGGACTTGGGAAGCTAAACAGGGTCAGGCTTAGTTGTAGTCAGAACTTGGATGGATTCCCCCCCCCCCCCGCTCGGGAATCCTAGGATTTGAAACCAGTCTGGGAAAACCCTGGAAAAAAAAGTGGGGGTGGGAGTGGCAAACCGCTTCTATGACACTTGCCCATACCATACCGGATCAGACTTATAGTCAGGGAGAATTCAAATTTGGCTAAGGAGGAGACCTCACTACTTTTTACAAAGTGAAGAACCGACTCCTGGTATCTACTGGACCGGCGAGACGGGGTACCGAACTCGTCTTAGGACCCAGGAAGCGGCGGAGATCTCGCCGGCCGGTTCCCTGGAATGAATGAAAGGAGCGGAGTCTTCAATGGGTTGGACTAGATGACCTTCAAGGTCCCTTCCAACTTTACTATTATTATTATTATTATTATTATTATTATTATTATTATTATTATTATTATTATTATTATTATTATTATTATTATTATTATTATTATTATTATTATTATGGCTCCCTCCAGAACCTGGCGGCGATCCCCTGGGCAGATGTTGTGTAGAATTTCTCACATTTTTCACCCTCCGCCTCCGAAGGGGGCTTTTCTCCCGGGCTGCGTTGCCCCCTCCCTCACCCCCCATCCCCCCCATATTTCCAAAGAAGCACGCGGGACGGGGGTTGGGGAAAGGAGTTTGACATACTCGGGTGACGGGGGCGGGGGGAGTAGGGTTGCCAGGTGTCCACTATTTGAGTGGACAGTCCACTTTTTTCACATTATGTTCACTATTTTTTTTCCCACAAAATAGTGGACATTTTTTTTTATTCAAAAGCTTTATGATGAAATGGTACGTAATCTAAAGCTGTACAGTCTACTTTTTTTTACTACTTAACCCCCCACCCCCCGCTTGTCCGCTATTTTTTGGGAAGCAGACCTGGCAACCCTAGGCGGGGAGATCTGAAGAAACGTGGTGGGGAAGGGAAGGCACCGAGGGAGGGGGGGGGAGGCAACAGGACGGCCGCTCCTGGCCGAGACTTTCCGTCGGGACTGGGCGTCAAGAAAGGGAAGCCCAGACCCGCCGCCCAGGAGGGAGGGAGGGAGGGAGGAGGGGACTCGGCGGCGATGCCGTTGAACTCGGGCGCAAGTTTCGGGAGAAGTTCTTAGACTTGTTTTGGGGGCGAAAGGTTTCGCGCCGACAGCCCCGCAAAACTTGGCGGGAATGCCGCCTCTCCCTCTCCTTTTCTTCGCTCCCCCGACAGCGCAGCCTCTGCTCCGGAATGCTTCTTCGAGCCGCCGCTACGAATCCCGTCTCCGAGGCGTTTCCCGCGGGCGATTTTAACGAGTTCGGCCGCTCGAGCCAAGGGAAACCCAGCTGGCTGTGACGGGCAGCCGGACGAGATTCCCCCCCCCCCCATTGGCGAGAGATGCCGGCCCCCTAGGAGCCTCTCGTCCAGGCTTAACGGGCTCGGTTCAGCATGGCCGTCTATGCCCTGACTGGCTTCTCCCTGGCCAGCCTGCTGAGCTTCGGCTACTTATCCTGGGACTGGGTGAAGCCCGGTCTGGTGACCGAGGTTTCGGGGGACCCGGCGGGGAAGCCTCGCCTCCCGCCTGCCTTCTCCGGGCCTCCTCACGTCGTTTTCATTCTGACGGACGACCAGGGCTATCACGATGTGGGCTACCACGGCTCGGACATCCAGACTCCGACGCTGGACAGGTTGGCTGCCGAAGGGGTTAAGCTGGAGAATTACTACATCCAGCCCATCTGCACGCCCTCCAGGAGCCAGCTTATCACGGGAAGGTAAGGAGGGGGCAGAAGCGCCCAAGTCTTTCAGGCCACTCGCCTCCGGTCCACCGGGGGGGGGGGACTGGACGGGAGAAGCCGAAGGGAAAAGAGCCCCCGCGGTGGCTGCTGGAGGGGGAGCCCGCAGGAAGCCTCATGAACCTCAGCCAAGGATGATAATAATAATAATAATAATAATAATAATAATAATAATAATAATAATAATAATAATAATAATAATAATAATAATAATAATAATAATAATAAAGTTGGAAGGGACCTTGGAGGTCATCTAGTCCAACCCCCTGCTCAGGCAGGAAACCCTAAACCATTTCAGACAAATGGCTGTCCAGTCTCTTCTTAAAAACTTCCAGTCTTGGTGCATTCACCGCTTCTGGAGGCAGGTTGTTCCACTGATTAATTGTTCTAACTGTCAGGAAGTTTCTCCTTAGTTCTAGGTTGCTTCTCTCCTTGCTTAGTTTCCATCCGTTGCTTCTTGTCCTGCCTTCAGGCGCTTTGGAGAATAGCTTGACTCCCTCTTCTTTGTGGCAGCCCCTGAGATATTGGAACACTGCTACCATGTCCCCCCTCATCCTTCTCTTCATTAAACTAGACATACCCAATTCCAGCAACCGTTCCTTATATGTTTTAGCCTCCAGTCCCCTAATCATCTTTGTTGCTCTTCTCTGTACTAGAGTCTCAGCATCTTTTTTACATCCTGGTGACCAAAACTGGATGCAGTATTCCAAGTGTGGCCTTACCAAGGCATTGTAAAGTGGTATTAATACTTCACGTGATCTTGATTCTATCCCTCTGTTAATAAACTTTGTATAAGTTAGGTTCAAATGAAAGAAAAGAGGGACAGAATGAATAACCAGATCGAGAAAAGCAAAAACAAAAAACAAAACACACACACACACACCAAAAAAAACACCTAATCCACGCTATATTTAAAGAGATAATGCGGTCCTCAGGATTCAAAATTCAAGTGTTAAGAGCTGAATATTGGTGAGCCTTTTGGAGGGCGATAAGGTTAGATGGATTTTACTGCATTCGAACTATAAAGTTGTGCAGACAGTAGTGATGAGGCATAGTAATGAGTAATAATGAGTAAAAAACGGTAGATGGATTTCCCTGCGTTAGAATGTTAAATCAGAACAGGGTTGGTGTGCAAACAGTAATAATGAGGCATAATAATGAGTAATAACACTGGTTGTATTTCATAGGATTAGACTTTTAAAACGTAACAGTAATGGTGTGCAGGCAGTGTTACCCAATGGATGGACATACCACTTTTCAGTTCAGATAACTTTCCCTTCAAGGGAGACGCCAGTTTATCTTGAAAAAAGTTACGCTACATTGTTTGCGCCTTATTTATATGGAAATAGTATATCACTGATCTCCCTTGCCAGGTTACCATTAGGATTCATGCCACGTACCATTAAAAGTTGTATATGTACATACAATTAAAACTTGTATATACAATTAAAATGCAATTATAGAATGGATGATGATGATGATGATGATGATGACAGAAACAGTAGCATCTGGAGAATCAACAGGATTTCATCAGAGCCTCTCAAATCTTGACTTGCTAATATTAACCCAAGAAATTCATTTACTTTGTTAGCAGTGAAGGCAGTTTTGCATCCCTTTTGAAGATATGGTTCTGGCTTGGGATTAACAATATTCATATCTGTGACAATAACATTGGATTAGATAGGCCACTGAAAAGTTTGTGAAAACAGTAAGCAAAAATTTTCTTTTGAGTTAGTCTATTGGTCCAGTACTGGCAACATTGACCAGAAGTCCATTTACAGATTTCGTGAAGGAGGTTTTCCCACTGTACCTCTTGATCCTTAGGACTCAGTCTAGGAAGCATCCTTGGTATGTTAAATATATGACGTACCATACAGGGGGAAGAAAGAGGGGAAAAAAAGACATCTTGCTTCCTAAAACCCAGAATAAACTATTTTTCCTTAGCAAACTGAAATCTATCAGACAGAGAGGATGTCATGAAAATTTCTGCCCAAACTTTGCATGAACTGTGTTCTTCGCTTTGCCGCTACAAAGTAGTCCTACGGTCCAGTCCTACATATTTGCCAAACACCAAAATGAACATTTTAGGTGGAAACTCTGCATTGCACAGATCTTTATGTTTTGCCAGATTTTCAGTGGCTTGCTCTGCTGTTCACGAGCCAGAAATCAAAGAAACTGGCCTTATTTTCATCATCCAAGCATCTGTCAGACATAAAACACAGAACACGTTTAATTTCCCACAGCTACGCATTCCAAATCAACAGTGTATGTGGTGAGTGTGTGTCTGTGTGTGTTTGTGTTGGGATGGGGCAGGGATTCAGATTCAGAGCCAACGGTAATTATTCCTGACAAAGGAAAGAAAAGTTTGGAGATTGGAGAATGATGGGATGGTTAGAAAGGACTCACTGCGAGACTTTTCCTAAAACAGGGAATATGACACTTCTAGAAAGGCAGAAATCTGTTTTGTGTCTAGCTAAATGATCTTTGGTGCCATTCATTTATTTTTGTATCCAATTTCAGAGTGCCATTACCTGCATGCATATCACGAGACGTAGAATTTAACAGAGAGGAAAAAGTATGTGGATATCTTCCATAAATATTTTGAACGGAGGAAAAGTAATACTTATAGAGTACTGCTGTACCTTATGGAAGACTCAGATTTTGTGCATTGGAGCCAAACTAGCGGGAGGCCCTGACCCGTGAATAAGGTGATACGGCCTCTAGTGTATGAGCATTTATACCATAATAAATCTGGAAGTGTTTAAGGTGCTATATAACATACTAATATTTTCCCTCTGCAGCACAAAATTAAATAAATGACTTCCAAAATAAATAATACAGTGGATTTCAGTGAGATAATTAAATCTGCAATCCTATACCATTTATCTGGGAATAAGCCCTTTGGGCTTCATTTCGGAGCAACTATGAATGTGATTTCACTCTGTGGGTTGCGCAATTTACCTCAGTTTTGAAAGGACTAAGTCCTTAGAAAATGATAAATAAAAGTTTTCAGAAAACAAAGTATGTCTATGCGAAACATTAAGGAGATCAATACAGCCTTGTTTAGCAACCATTTGTAGTTATGACAGTGATGAAAAAGTACCCATCTTTCCATTTACAACCTTTGCAGCCTGTAAAGCAAAGGAAAGCTGAAATAAAATCATAAGCACAGTCATGATTTCACTTTGTGACCCTTTCACCTGATGACCGAGTTGCCAGTCCCAGTTGTAGTCACTAAATGAGGACAATTCATTTAGTGAGCAGTCAAAGTTACAACGGCACTGAAAAAAGTGAATTCATACTTATGACTGTTGCAGCATCGCCATGTTCACATGATCAAAATTCAGACGCTTGGCAACTGAATCATATTTATGATGGTTTGCAGTGTCCTGGGGTCATGTGATCACCTTTTGCAATCTTCTGACAAGCAAAGTCAATGGGGAAACCAGATTCACTTAACAACTGTGTTACAAACTTAACAACTGCAGTGATTCACTTAATGACTATGTCAAGAAAGGTTGTAAAATTCACTTAACAACTTCTCGCTTCACAACAGAAATGTGGGGCTCAATTGTGGTCGTAAGTTGAGGACTACCTTCAATATCTGTATTTAAATATTAATCATTGTAACTCTTAAAAACAAAAACCATTCAAATTTTAACTTTTGACTTTCTAGATAGTGTTGATTGTGATTCTGAATTTGTCAGAAGTATCGATGCAAAAACCCTTTCTGGCAGATGCTATCTAATTTGCAGTAAGACAGACGATCAGCACTATTGAAAGTTTTAATATGCTTCCCTACATTAGTGGTGGCAGAGGCGATAGACTGTAAAGGTGCTATTCTCCTTGGTGTGGTGCCTCATAACAAGCTTATGCTGGGTTTTTCACTTGCTATCCAAAACGTATCTAATTATTCTCATCTGGGAAAAAAAAGAGATTATATTATGCAGAATTTGTAATATCAAATTAATTGCACGGCATGTGAAACTCATTGGGCTTTGTGTTATACATAGTGGATCAGATGTAGTTACAGATAAAGATGGTCCTTGACTTATGTCCATTTGTTCAGGGATCGTTCAAAGTTACAACAGTGCTGAACACATGGATATGTAAGTGGTCCTCAAAATTCTAGCCATTGCAGCACTGCTATGGTCACACGATCAAGATCTGAGCATTGGAGTACTTGTTTCACAATTACTGGGTCAAGACAGTCATGGTCACACAATCGCTAGCTTTTCTTGCCAGCTTCCCATGAGCAAAATCAATGGGGAAGTTGGTAGGGAGAATCACAAGTCACTCCAGTATGTCACTTCTGCTTATTCCCTTATTCTTCCACCTCCTGCAGCTTATACTGGCTATCCCAGGCCTTCCTACAACTCATATGTAGTCTATGTTGGTCCTCCCACCTTCCCCAACTCATACATGGCCTGCACTGGTTCTCTCATGCCCTCCCTGCCAACCTCCTTCTCCTGTGGCACTCCCATGCACCTTATCTGGGACTCCTGTCTCTTCCTGCTTAATAACTTGCAGGTTGTGGGGTTAACAATCACCCAGGATTGATGGTAATAAGCAATGAGGTCACATGGTGTTGCATTTATGACCATTTTACTTTGCTACCATAGCCTGAGTACTACTGGTAGTGTCATGGATAGTCATATATCAGGGAATTCTGCAGTATGTAGGGAACTGGACTTGATGACCTCTTAGGTGTCTTCCAATTCTGTGATTCTATGACACTCAAGATGTATTTGAGGACACGGATCCTGTCTGCTGAGTGTAATCCTGCTAGGGATTCTTTTCGGGTCAGTCTTTTTACATCAGATTTGCACCATTTTGAAAGGTTATGAATATCTTCCAGAAATTAAGTTGGAATTGCACTGATGTTCACTGCAGTTTTGTGCTTTGGATCTATACTCACAACATAATCATCTAGAAAGTATTATATAACAGACTGATCTTTGTTTTTGCTCCATTATTTGCTCCTGTTATTTTTACCATCTCTGGCTTGAAACTTCAGCACACGGTTAACCTTTTCAATTGGAGGTAAAGTCTAACAAAGAGGTGAAAATAGGAGTGGTGAGCAAGTATCAAGAAATAAATGAAAAAGTAATATGGCTTAAAAGTAGTCCTGAAAAGCATTGGAACTGAGCAATATTCTATTCATCCTTTAAAAATATGTGTATTTTGTGGACTTCCAGAGAAGAAAGGGCAAACCTGGTGGTTGATTATGGTTCCATTAAAAAAGGAGCCCGCAATCAAGTGGAATGAAGAACTGGTGAGAAGACTGGCTCTTCATAATTCCTCTGGACAAGGAGAAGATTTGAGCTCCTGTTATTTGCCCCAGCTCCTGGCAACTTAGCAGTTTGAAAACATGCAAATGCAAGTAGATTAATAGGTACCACTTTTGTGGGAAAGTAATGGCATTCCATGTGCCTCAGCATCTATAGTCATGCTGGCCAAATGATCACAAAAATGTCGTTGGACAACACAGCCCCCCCTCCCACAGCTAAGAAATGGAGATGAGCACCACCCTCTAGAGTCAGATACAACTGGATAGGAGAAACATTTACCTTTACGTTTAAAAGGGATATACACATAACTCACTAAAAAACCAAAAAAGTTACTTGGATAACTCTCCTATATTTGGTTTACAAAAGAGATTTTTTAAAGCTTCAAGAATGATGTTCGGAGGGAGGGAGAGAGAAAAAATGAAAAGAAATAAAGTTTAAGGACTTTATTGTAAAAAGATTAAAGATTGAGGTTGTTAAAATTAAAAGGAATATAAGGTTAGTTTATCTGATCAAAGTTAAAATATGTTGCTGTTTCTGGTAACCTTTAATGGACCATTTCTGACATCAGGACTGAAATGACAAGACTTTAAAGACAGTTTTATAGATAAGAAATGAGATAGGGGAAGAAGGGATCATTTTGTATTTTAAAAGAAGGTGATAACTATACTAACATTGTATATATTTGTGATGAAGGGGGAAGTCACAAGCACCCAAACACACACACACACACACACACACTGCTTTACTATAGTCTTATTTTTTCTTTTTTGCACTTTCTATTTTTTATTCTTTTTAAAGCTTCTATTAGCTTTCATCTTTTTAACTGTAAAGTTTAATAAAATTACTATAAAACCAAAAATCTGTTTATGCTACAGGTATGTATACAAATATACCTGGAAATAGATATCCATTATATTATGTCTGCTTACAGCTTGGACATTTTGAACCTGCTGCCATGCAGCTTTTAGAAGGAATACAGGTAGAAGTAATGTTCTGTTGGGGAAACCTACTTTTCAGGTGCACAACTGTAGGTTCACGGGGGATGGAGATGCTGCAATTCAAGATGATGTCTTTGCTTTCTTTATCTCTCTTCCTAGGTACCAGATCCATACAGGTCTTCAGCACTCAATCATTCGTCCCCGACAGCCAAATTGCTTGCCTCTGAACCAGGTCACTCTCCCACAGAAGCTGAAGGAAGCCGGCTACTCTACCCACATGGTTGGCAAATGGCACTTAGGCTTTTATCGAAAAGAATGCCTGCCAACCCGCAAGGGCTTTGATACCTTCCTGGGCTCTCTGACAGGAAACGTGGATTATTATACATACGATAACTGTGACGGGCCGGGAATATGTGGGTATGACCTTCACGATGGGGAAAATGTAGCCTGGGAACAAAGTGGCAAGTATTCCACCTTCCTTTATACCCAGCGAGTCAGAAAAATTTTGGCAACCCACAACCCCAAGGAGCCCCTCTTCATCTACATAGCATTCCAGGCGGTGCACACTCCTTTGCAGTCCCCAAAGGAATACATCTATCGCTATCGCTCCATGGGAAACGTTGCCCGCCGCAAATATGCTGCCATGGTCACATGCATGGATGAAGCTGTGAAGAATATCACCTGGGCCCTGAAGAAATACGGTTACTATGAGAATAGTGTTATTGTCTTCTCTACAGATAATGGAGGGCAGACGTTCTCTGGGGGAAGCAACTGGCCGTTGCGAGGCCGCAAAGGAACATATTGGGAGGGAGGAGTGCGTGGCATTGGATTTGTCCACAGTCCACTGATTAAACGCAAGCGAAGGACCAGCAGGGCACTCATTCACATAACTGACTGGTACCCAACCTTAGTGACTTTGGCTGGGGGCAACGTGTCTGAAGCAGATGGCTTGGATGGCTATAATGTGTGGCCAGCTATCAGCGAAGGCAAAGAGTCACCACGGAGTGAAATCCTGCACAACATCGATCCTCTGTACAATCATGCCAAATATGGCTCTTTAGAGAATGGGTTTGGCATCTGGAACACAGCAGTACAGGCCTCTTTAAGGGTGGGAGACTGGAAACTTCTTACCGGAGACCCTGGTTACAGTGACTGGATCCCGCCACAGACTCTGACCAACTTCCCAGGGAGTTGGTGGAACTTAGAGCGCCTGACAGACGGGATGCGTCAGTCCGTCTGGCTTTTCAACATCACAGCCGATCCGTACGAGCGCTATGATCTGTCAGACCAGCGTCCCGAAGTAGTCAGGGCTCTGCTTCTTAGGCTGGTCAATTACAACCAAACGGCCATCCCTGTCAGATACCCTGCGGAAAACCCACGCGCTCACCCTGACTTCAATGGTGGTGCCTGGGGACCTTGGGCCACAGAAGAGGATGAAAGGTGGGAAGGAAGGCATGGAAAAACAAAGAACAAAAAACGGAAAAAGAAGTGCAAGATCTGTAAGCTACGCTCCTTTTTCAAAAAGTTGAACACCAGACTTATGTCAAACCGCATCTGAGATGGGGCAGGTTGGGTTCTTGCCAAAAGTCAGGTTGGAACAGGGCTGTTCCAAAAAATGGAAGTGTGTGTGTGTGGGGGGGGAGATCAGTAGAGTATTCCTCTTTCTGTTCAACTTGGAGTGAAGCGAGATGGACTATCAGCTCTTCCTCCCCTATTGTGAGGTAGGGATAACTAAGTCTGCCAATCCATCCCACTTCATCTTTTCCCCAATTTTAGCACCAACATTGCTGATTCTGAATATGGGCAGACTTTGCAACCTCTATTTGACATAGTCCCTTCCTTTTAAATGTTATGCCATGAGATGGTACTTAATGTGCAATTAATTATTCTAGAAGGTTGCAGAAAAGATACCCAAAGTGTGCCATTCAGGAACTAGTGGGAAGAATACTGTATATATACATTCTCAGTCTTTAACCAAAGATGAAATTGTTCTTTACCCAGGGAAAGAATTGCTTAAGGATGAAATTGTTCTCTATTTGCTATTGACTCATGGAATGCTGACCATAAATAATCTTAGATAATATTTTTGCTCTGAGAAAGTGACTGTGGATTCTTCTCTCCCTGGAGACTGTAGTTGCCTCCTTCTGATCACTTTAGTGCCTGTGGGTGTGGATACGGAAGACCTGGGACAATTATTTTTACCAGAGTTAAAATGCAGATCTGGCGTGGTGCAATTTCCCCTCCCCCCTGAATATGTATAAAGCCAAACATCTTGTAAACGTGGGCAGGGGCATCAGTAAACACTGTGAGTGTTGCTTGAGCTAAGAGCATAGTCTTATATATGCAAAAGGAGTTGATAAGAGCTGAATTTTTACATTTGATTGACAGATCGGTTTACTTCCACTGAACGACCGCTCTTATATAGTTTTTTTTTTACTATGCAGATTTTCTTTTCTGCAATTATGAGTGTACTGCAGAGGAGCTCTCGTTCATCTCTAGATCTGTTCAGAATACAGAAGAATACTTGCAAGTTGCTTCCATACGTCAATTTGTATGTAAAACAAACTATGCACATATTCATGATTAGATCACAAATCTTACTGTTTGGGGAGCAGATGCTCGAATTTCTTCATAATGGCAGAACTGATTTTTACAAATGTGATGATTACTAGCTGAATTTATTATTATTTTTAAGAAAAATGAGGACCCAGACTGTTGGGGGCAATATGCTGACTCTATAAACCGCTTAGGGAGGGCTATAAAGCACTGTGAAGTGGTACATAGGTCTAAGTGCTAGTGCTAGTGCTATCCCTAATATGGTCCTTCAGGTCTTCCAATGGTGCATACAGTCATTTTCTTCTCTTTCTTAACACCTTTCCCAGCATCAAAGCCTTTTCATAGAACTAAGTCTTCACATAATGTGTCCAAAGTAGGACATTTTCAGCCTGGTCCTTTGAACTCCAAGTGAGAACTTTGGATTGATTTGTTCACTGATTCATTTGTTTGTTTTCTTGGCTGCCTGCAGTATTCTCTGGAGTCTTCTCCAACACCAAACTTTAAAAATGTCAATACTCTTCCTATCCTGCTTCTTCAAAGTACAACTTTTGCTTTCATAGATTGTGACAGGGAGTTGCATAGATTATTCTGACCTTCATAGGTGTAGATACATCAGAGCATCTGAATACCTTTTCCAAGGTATTCTGGTTCTGGTTCCCAGGTTCTGCCAAGTGCTATTGGGGAACATATTGTATTTCTTAACAGCTTGCTCCTTTAGCTAAAAAGCAGGAGCTATCTACCATCTTGATATTTTAGTTGTTCATGATTGTGAAACTAAATCTTCATATTCAAACCATAAAATGAAATGTTGAAGATAAAGATGAATGGTCTAGAAATCTCCAGTGACATCTGGCTGGCACCTGAGGGACACAGAGACTGAATGATTGCTGGTCTGTCTAGCAGAAACTTTTTTTGCCACCTTATATTTTAGTCATGTGGACACTTGCTGTGTTCTAAAAAAAAAAAAGGGAATTTAGCAATCTGGAAAAATTAGGATATTTGGCCCTTAGCCAAGTCTGAAAAAATAAAGTTTGGCCTCCTTAAAAGATTCATTTGAATGAATCAACTCCTTAAAGTAATTGTACCTTTTTTTTAGGCCCATGCAGAGGTCTTGGGCAGGGGTCTTCAAACTTGGCCCTTTTATGACTTGTGGACTTCAACTCCCAGAATTCCTCAGCCAGCATGCCTAGCTGAGGAATTCTGGGAGTTAAAGTCCACAAGTCATAAAAGGGTCAGGTTTGAAGACCCCTGGTCTTGGACAAGAGGAACTATTTTAAGGCATCGCAGAGAGGTGCTCGATGACCTCCAAGGTCCCTTCCAACTTTATTATTATTATTATTATTATTATTATTATTATTATTATTATTAGTAGTAGTAGTAGTAGTAGTAGTAGTAGTAGTAGTAGTACTCAGCACTAAAGATCATACATTATCCTCAGTCTCTAAGACATCATGTGTCTTTGAATACCAATTGACGGGGAATATGAGAGTTTGGTGATGCTTGAAGGATTTCCATGGGTATTTGTTGGGTCACTGCAGGAGCAAGATACTGGTTTGAATTTTCTAAGATCCATTATGCATTTGCCTAATATATCTATATCTTTGTTTCCTTCCTCTCTTCCTGCCTACCTTGCCAAACACAGGAGTCAGCTCGTGAAAGTTGCTTTTAAAGAGAGTAGCTTTTCCAGAGCCTGGTGCTAAACAATATTTCTCTTCTCCTTTCTGGGCTAGTGCTTCTCCCTTCTCCTCTTCTAAATGCCAGGCAGGGTTGCTTGCCTGGAGCTTCCTTGGGGCAGAGATGCTGAAGGATTGTAGGCAGATCTCATGTAGACACATTCTGATGAGCAGTCAAATGCTGATCTTACCTTAGAGTGGTGTTGACTTTCCAAACCAGATATCTCTGGTTTGTAGGAAGCCCCTGAAATGTTCCTGCAAGTGACAACGGTTGCCTGGATTGTACAATTTCCTTTGGGTGTTTTGTGGAAACAGTTCCTGTATGTATACCACCAAAGAGGATACTATCAAAAAAAAAAAAAAAAAAAAAAAAAAAAAA